CAGCCCAGTGGCTCTACATGGCGGCTCTCCATGGCGGCTCTCCAGCCGGCGCCCAGTGGCCACATTTCCTCCATCACTGCGAGCAGCCCCCGCGAGCTTCGCTTTGTGATGAGGTCGCCGAGACGGCAGAGGAGCCTCAGGCTGCCGATGTGGATGAGCCTGCGGTGAAGGTCTCAGAACCCACCCGCGACCGGGGATCCCTGAGTGCTCAGGGGGTTGAGTGTATGGAAAGGCGCCCTGGAGGGAGGGGTGACCTGGCAGCTGCTGGCCTTCGCTGATCACCCCACGGGGCTCGCACAGCTCCAGCCACGGGCCGCTCTGCCTCGGCCCTTTCCCCAGACGACATCGGGGAGCAGCAGGGTCGTTTGTGTCACTAACACAACACGTTTCTCCCACTGTCACCCCATAGTCCGAGGCTGTGAGTGAAGGAACAGGCCGCCACTCCCGGTGGGCGGGGCAGGCACCTGGTCGGAAACGGGCTGTTGCCGTGCCAGGGCCCCAGGGATCTCACTCTCTCTCTCTCTCCCCACTTTCTCGGCCAGTGTTCGTGAGGTTCAACTCCAGCCACGGCTTCCCAGTGGAGGTGGATTCTGCCACCAGCATCTTCCAGCTCAAGGAGGAGGTTGCTAAGCGACAGGGGGTTCCAGCCGACCAGCTGCGCGTGATTTTCGCGGGGAAGGAGCTCAGGAATGACCTGGTGGTGCAGGTGAGTGGCTGGGGGCTGGGCCGGGCGCCCCGTGGCTGACATTCAGGGCCCGGATCTGATGGAATAGACGGCGCCTGGGGACTCCCTGAACTGGACTCCTCCACTTCATTAACTCTGACCTTAATTATGCAGCGAAGCAGCAAGAGGAAGGGCTGAAGGCGGGGGGGAGGAGAAGGGGGGACCGACCGTGAATAAATGTAGACCGAGCGGGAGCAGCGGGGCACGGTTTCCGTGTCCAATCCCTCCCTCACTTACTCCATGAGAATCCCAAGGAGGAAGGACGCGAATAAATTGCTCAGACCCACGGCTCCGGGCTGCGCGGGAGGGATTTATAACCCAGTGTGACCCCCGGAGGGCAGCGGTGCCCTGCGCCTGCCTGTGGGACTGACCCAGGCAGGGCGTCCAGGGCCCACTCACAGCGCGTGGGGGTACCCCTCTCCAGCCCCCCCAACTCGGGGAGCAGGCCCCTGACACGCTGGAGAGGGCTCCCCTGTCTTCTCTGGGGGCTGTACTGCTCCCACCGCAGGGGAGCCCTGATCTCTGCATCCTGGGTCACTGGGACAGTGATTTCTGCGGAATGAGGTGATACCTGGTTAGGGGGCTAGTGAGCCTGCAGTCCCTGTCCCTCAGCGAAGCCAGCAAATAAGGTTCAGTTGGATCGAGGTGGTTCCCTGTGGGGGGTCAGGCTGCTGAGGCCCCGCAGACACCCCCTTTCTAACCTGCTCACAGAGGAGCTCACAGTGGGCTGTGGGTGGAGGCTGCTGTCACAGAGGCTGTCTGGCACCCGATGTCCCTCCGTTATAGACACCCCATCACTGTTGCCTGGGGATGATGTCAGCTGCTCTGCGGATGCTTTCAGAGTGGGGACCCCAAAGGAGGCATAGGCATGCAGCTCGCCCCACTCCCAGGGCCCCCTGCTGAGGGCAGGCTGTTCATGGTGCACAA